CTCCAGTTCCAGGGGATCCAATGCCCTCTTCTGACCTCCATGGGCACTGCATGACACAGGTGCACTTACATACATGCAGTCAATACACTCACACACATAAAATAAAATAATAAAATATTTAAAATATAAAAACTATTCTTAAGACAAACTATTTGCAGCTGAACTGTGGCATGCTGGACTTGGCCTGTGGCCTGCAGGTTGTCAGCCTTTGACTCTGAATCCAGAGCTTTCCAAGTTGTGTTCCTCAGGGACATGGCAAATACTTATAGGAAGTGTTAGTTTAAACAAAGTTAACCACATCACCTGCTCTCCACTGGCTTCGCAGTCTGCACTACTCTCAGGAGCAATATCCGTCCCCAGAGGGGGCTAGCATCCACTAGGCTTCTGTGGCTGACCTGACTCAGCTTTCTCTTGCTTCTTGTGTGTTTGCAAGGCAAGCATTCCTCATGACCAGGTTCTGGGTGTGTCTTTGGTGAGGCACCGCTTCAGTTAATGTACTTGTTCTACATGCAGGGAAACTAAAGCCTGAGTACCTTGCAAGCTGGAGGTAAGTTCAGGTTTCTTGACTACACTGGTACTTTCACGTGTAGCCTAGACTGAAGCCAGCCACGACACCAGGGTCCCCCAGCTTTCTGAGCCTGTCCATTCACACACTATTATTCTTCCTACTACCTAAGGACATATATTGAGGGACTGTAACCCTAGACCAGGGGTGGCTGTATATCAGGAAATGCTCCTAAAATTTCTGGCCCTGAAGGATTAAATGAAGGTATTATAGGCTAGCAATAGTCTCTGGGCTACTACCCTATGACAAACAGGGCATAAGTATTGAATTATGTTGACAGTATACAGGATACTAGACTGGGATACTCTGCATAGTAATGGTATGGTTACATCTTTAGAGAATATACAATAGTATTTACATATGGCTTTTTCATTTTCTTATATTACTCTCTGGCAAAGACAGACGAGACATTTAGTTTTGAGACAGGATCTCATGTACCACAGGCTGGCCTTGTACTCACTTTGTAGCCAAAAATGACCTTGAACTGATCCTCCTGCCTCTACCTCCCAAGTAGTGGGCTGACAGGCACCAGCAGGCCTGCTTTCATTTTTTTTTTTTTTGTAGATGTAGAAACTGCAGCTCAGGGAAGCTAGAGGCGTCAGCTCCAGGTCTCATCTCACCTGAGGGACTGCTTTTGCCATTCCCTATTGACTTAGAGTGAAGGGTGACTAGGCAATGAAGTAATTCTCTAGGGAAGCATGACCAATTTCCCTTCCTCCACCTTCCTCTTCTTCCTCTGCCCCTCCCTGCCAGACCCCTTATATACAAATCTCCACCAAGTCTTGCTTGCCTGCCCACATTTTTACCTTTGGAACAACTTCCACAGCTGAGACAGGAACTTTTTACCCACAAGTATATCCTATCAATGAATGGAAGGACTTGCCCACTTGTCTCCTTTGTATAAAGAACTGGCCACCTCCAAACAGCAGCTTCCTAGCATCACTTCAGGACCTGAGGTGAGTGTGTGTGGGGGTTCCTGTGGTCTTTGCTCTGGGGCTTCAGACTGCTGCCTCATCTAGCAATGAGGGTTAAAGGAAGGATACAGATATCAACATTTTGAATGTTTATATGAGGAAAAAACTGAATAAAGAGTTGCTTTCTCCAAGTTACCATCAAGAAGAATTTGGACTGGAGGGGAGGAAGGTCAGGAGGATTATAAGACCCAGAGATGAATTTTTAAGAGAGGCTACAAAGCCTGTAGCATTTGAAAGAACAGAATAAGAGGATGTTGACAACGGACTCTGGCCTTGGGCACTTTTTACCTAGCCTAGGTGTTGGCATTCATTCCAAAGTCAGGTTCTCTGACCTCTCTGCCATTCTGGGAGTGGAGAACATTTCTTTAGTTCCAAGGACAGTGTGTAGACAGGAAATGCTCTTGTAAGGTTGTTGAGAAAGTAGGAAAAAAAGGAGAAAGAAGGTGAAGGAGGGAGGAAAGAGGGAAGAAAAGCAAAGAGCAAGGAGGTGTAGACATTTTCTGTATGTGGCCATGATAACAGTGCTGACTTCTTCTGCTTGAAGGCCCATCACACAGTCATTTCCAATTGGCACTTCAGAGAAAGGTTTTGAAAATGATTCACCTGGAACTCATAACTCCTCTTTCTGGTTTCTCTTACTGGAAAGATCAATCCTTAGACTTAAGAGGGAGTCTGTCAGCTGGGGTGGCAGAGGTGAGCGTGTGATTCAGACCTGCCTTCTGCACCCCTCTCAGTGGGCCCTGATTAACCCCTCTGTTACCTTGTGATGAGGGATGAGGGCTAGTCACCTTCTAGAAGGAGAAATAGATCCACTTATGTCTTCTAGGTCCTAGAAAACCAAATGTTTAGGTGAGCTCCTTCTCCTCGTAAGTTTGGACTCTCTAGATATGTTCCTGGGAGCATTATTCTTCCTTCTTGGTCAAATTTCTTTTGGAGGCTAGGAGAACTGTAATGGAGAAGAAAGGAGAGGCAGGTGTGTGGAGGAGTGTGGAGACAGTGAAGGAGGACAAAGAGGTAGCAACCACAGCAGGTATGAGCTGGAGTATGGAAAGGCCCTTGCTCCACTCCAGTGCACCCTGCAAAGCCATGGGTTTGTAGTATTCTTGCCTAGGAACTCACCTTAGTCCATTTTCTGTTGTTCTAACTTGGTATTTTATAAAGATACTGGTTAGTTTATAAAGAAAAGAGGTTTGTCTCACAGTTCTGAAGACTGGAAGGTTTAAGGAGCCATATTTGCTAGGTCTTTATTGGTGCTACGCACTCTGCATAGTCCCAAGCAGGGCATGGTATCATGTGGCAAGAGGACACAGACAAGGAGGAGCCATCTGGCTTTTATAAGAAACCCACTTTCAAGATAACCGTTGTCTAGCAATCCATACATTCATGAATTCATTCAAGAGGGAAGAGATCTGGTAACCTAATAACCTCTTAAAGGTCATACCTGGTTCTACCTCTAAATAGCTCATAGTAGGGATTAAATGTGAGTTTTGGTGGAGACATTCAAACCACAACACTTCTCTGGTCACAGGTTTCCCAATTGTGTGCTCCTGAGGTTAGCCTAGGCCAACTCCGGGAGCATTATTTGTGAGTATAGAGTTCCTGGTGAGAGGGAGCCTCAGGGAAAGCCTCCTTTTCTTTAGAAGATGCACTTGTTCTTTCTTCACCGCAGATGAGCTCAGGAGTACAGACTCTGTCTTGCCTGAGCCTGATCCTGCTTGTCTGGAACCAAGTTTCAGGGCTCCGGGGCCATGAATTCCGATTTGGGCCTTGCCGAGTGGAGAACGTGATTCTCCTGGAACTGTGGGAGGCCTTCCGGGCTGTGAAGGACTCTGTGGTGAGTGGAAGCTTGCTCTGGACCTTTTTCCAGAGTTCTCTAGGGGGAGGGTACCATTTCATGATTATGAATCCACTCACAGTTTGCTAATCAGTTTTCTACTTAAGAACTCTGAGAGATCAGGAGGCATCATGAGCACTGTGTTACACATGAGGAAACTAAGGCTTACTAATAGATGGTCAGCCTCCAGTAAAGCCCAAGGGGAAATGAAGAAGAGAATTCGATTGGTCCAGTTTCATCCTGGATGTGCCCTGGCTCTAAATTCAACCACCAGAATAAGAGATTCAGAATACATAGAGAGGGTATCAAGGACAAGAGGCAGCTCCAGGTGCAGCCATGTCCCTTCAGTCCATTCCCCATGTGCATTATGGGGGCAAACCCTACCCTTTGTGGTTCTTGAACCAAACAGGCTTATTTTCTCCTGTCTCAATGACAAAGGAATGAAAGTTTCATGAAGTCTGTGTTCCAGCTCTAAGAACCTCTGGAATTCCATTTGCCCCTTTGGGTTGCGTAAGCTTAGTGGTTTTCCTATGGATGGGTCCTGTACCCCCTCCCTAGGAGTTATTTCAGAATGCCCCTTCCTGGGTTCTCCTTTGGTTCCTCTGATCTCTGGCGTCTCACAGATGGGATAGTTTCAGGGCTTGGGGAAGCATATTGGCAAGATTGGTTTCTATGCAGACCTTTAGCCTGGAGACATCTTTTCTTTTTATTCTCAAAGCAAACTCAGGATAACATCACAAGTGTCCGGCTGTTGAAGCCAGAGGTTCTGCATGATGTCTCGGTAAGAAGATGATGAGGAAAGATGATACCGCCCCTTGTGGGGCTGATGGATGCTTTTCCCTTCTGCTCTAGCTGACCCAACATAGGAGAGGGATGGGTATGAGGCTGGGTGGTCTGAATCTGGGGTTATTGCTCTGTGGGTATGGGAAAGGGTGGAAAACGGAAGTTGGTAAACATCCTTCTCCACTAAGCCAGTCAGTCAGTTGCCAGCCATCTTTCTTTTGCTTTTGCTTATGGAAATATGGTGGGTATCTACTGAAGTGAGCTCATCTTCTGTCTCCACCTTTTCTCTCACCTGTCTAGATAGTCTGTGAGCAAGAACATACTGATCCTTGAGATGTGCCAAGCTTTATTCACAGAGAGGGCTAGGCAGCACTTGCTGTGTGTAAGGACAGTAGGTTTCTTCTTCTTCCAGTATTTTCCTTCTAACAGTCATGAGGCCCAAGGTGACGTGCTTTTCAGGATCTATCATATTAATGAGGCCATGTAGTATAGAAGAAAGAAAATTAGCTGGATGGTGAGCCAGGAGTTCTGGGAGTCAGGCTAGTGTCTGGGATGGCTGAGTTACCTTGGGAAAGTAACTTCTTTCTGGGGTCTGGGCTCTTCTTGTGAAATACAAACTGTTTCACAAGACCCCTTTAGATACATCTAATGCCATCATCATCTCCAAGAAGACTTTACCATGCTCCTTTGCCTTGGGTGGTATGTGGGTTTCCCTCTAGGGGCCAGGGTTGCCAGAGGCCGTGGCTTTGCAGTGGTCTGGTTCTTTCTCAGGATGCTGAGAGCTGTTACCTTGTCCACAGCCTGCTGAAGTTCTACTTAAACACTGTTTTCAAAAACTACCACAACAAAAGAGTTGAATTCAAGATCTTGAAGTCAATCTCCACTCTGGCCAATAACTTTATTGTCATCACATCAAAACTGCGACCTTGTGTGAGTAGAACAAGCTGGGCTAGAAGCCTGGGAAGTGGTGTGATTGAGAATACCCCACTCCCTTTATCTAGTCCTTGCTTTTATTTCAAAGGAAAGAGCCCTGTGTATCATGGAAAAGTATTCGAGGTTCAGGTCTGGGTCTGCTCTGATTAGCTAGTGACATTTTACAAGGTTATCAATTTCTCTTGGCTTCAGTTTTGTCATCTCTAAAATGGGGGTGATATGCCTTCCTGGAGGCAGTGCTGTGAGAAAAGACAGCCCGGCCATACGGCAGGAGTCTGACACTGGCTTCCTTGAGAATGCAGGACTTCTAGGCCTTGGGCGCCCACCCTGGTATCACCAGGGAGAGCAGGAGGAGCTCATCTCTACTCCTATCTAACTTTAGACACGTTTTTTTTTTTCTGTTATTCAGCAAGAAAATGATATGCTTTCCATTTATAAGAGTGCACATAGGCGATTTCTACTATTCAAGAGAGCATTCAAACAGGTAAGGCCAGGAGGTAGGAGCATGCCTATTTGACAGAAGCAGGCTACCTTGAACTGCCATAGGAGAGTGCCCCAGAGGCCCCATAGCACAATTTACTGTAGGTGATTCCTTCAGGCTTGTCCCAAACCCACCTGACTTAGTGGGAGAATAAGTATATTTGCAAAAATAAACATCTACTTTGCATAAGCCATCACAAATAATTTTGATCACTTTTGGGAGGACCAGCTAAACCAGTGTACAAATAAATGGTGGGATGCAAACCTGGGCTCATGTCTTAGGATCTCAGTGAATTCAGGTGGTAGACCACATCTACCCTAGGCTTCATTCTTGTTCCAGGTACCACATGCTTTCTCCTGGTTCTTTACCTGTTATTCAGTACCCTCTTTGTCCTCACTCTTGAAACAAGCACACATAGGTGGGGCACAGTGATGGGAGGATCAGTTTATCAGAGGCCATTGCATATATAATCCAGCTAATTTGAAATCAGGCCTGTTTCAGGTAAAGCAGGTTGGAAGGAAAGCTATTCTTATAGTTACCATGTTTGACCTCCAACTCTCCTTTTGTTGTAGCTGGACACAGAAGCAGCTTTGACGAAAGCCTTTGGGGAAGTGGACATTCTCCTGACCTGGATGGAGAAATTCTACCATTACTGAATGTCTAGACCAGGATAACCCCCTCATTTGCTCTCTCTGTCATTTCAAGCCACTGCTCATGTTTGTGCTGCTCTCTGGGCTCCTCACACCCTTGGTCATGTGCCCCATTGTTGGCTCAGGCTTAGCTTCAGACTGAATTTTTCAGCAGCTCAAATGACAGTCATGGAAGGCAACTTTGGATGCTGTGAATAATGTACAAAGTGGATTTGTGTACATGCTACAACTGTATTTAATTATTGTCAGTGTTTCAGTGGAAATTATATCTGTGAGATGGTAAGTTCCATGAAGACCACAGAATATACTGCCCCATTTTCACCTTATTAAATGCCACGATCTGGCTACATAACGTGGGGCAGTGGATAGGCACTCAGCAAATATTTAAACTGGATTGATTTTTCGTTTTTGCCTCTCTTGGGATTGTTGAGGAGCAACGAGTGATGATGGGATATGGAAATAAACTTTAGTGCAGAGAAATCATACAGGGACAACTGGGGTAGAAATGAAGAGCACTGATTTGAAAAGTAAAGGATGAAAGATAATATCCAGGTTAAAACGAAACCAATTCATACTGCATACTTCTGTTCTTGCTTGATCTCCCACCCTATTCTATTACCCTGTTTCTCTGTGTTCCTTTCTTTTCTTATCCCAGTAATTCTTCCCTTGTCTACTGTCTGACATGAAATGTCATTGTTCAGCTAACATTGCTGATGGTGACACTGTGCCTGGAAGCACTGTCCAATCTGTGAGGACATTCCCTGCTATGAAAAGGCAACTCAACTCAGGTTTGGTAGCCATTCCTTTCTGTTTTTAGAAATGTGTCCAAGAAGCTTGCGCTGTATGTCTGGGAAAGGCCTTCCCAGGCTATGGCTGAATTTCATAGTTGATGCTAATCCAAAGAGAATATCTGACTATAGCCTTGCTCTAAAAATTTCAGAGAAAAGTATAGGTGAGATGTCTCTTCTTGCATGACAGAAGTGCTGTTTCAGATCCTCTGACCTCCTAGAAACCCCAGGCTGCTTTCCCCCCTACGTTATGTGTTTTCTAGAACTGGAAAAGAAATGGGTTTATTTCTGAAAGTAGAGCAAGGTGATCATTTCAGATGGTTAAAACAGATCAAAGTTAAGGTGAGTATACAAGTGTCAGTACTAAAATATGGAAGAAGGCAAGGAGATACCAAAGACGTTTTTAAAAGAGGAGAGATGCTAGAGTCAATGCACTTATCTTTAGCAAGTGATGGAAAGTTAACTAAGATTTATACATAATTATATCACAAACACTATCAAGCTTATCTCTAAAATTTAGAATAATCATGTCAAATAAATTGCCTTTAACATGAACTCAAGAAAAATAGAAACTCATCAGCACATGCTGGCCTTTGGATCTGGGCAAAGATGCTCACAGTGGAGCATTCTCACACTGTACCCTTTTCCTAGCTCATGGGGCTGAGGCATGTCCTCATGAGGCAGTCCAAAGGCCTCTGTCTGTGTGAGGACCAGGCCTGGGGAGGGCTTCTAAAGTAGCAGCCATGCCTAAGTTCCAGTTTGATGCCACATGAGCTAGGGTTAGGGCAGCAAAGACCCTGTGACCAAAGGTAGCAATGACAGAAGTCTAATAGCATATTAGATGATGTGAAAAGGACAGGTGGTATTGAGACAAATGAATGCTCTCGATGTGCAGAGCCTCCTGATAGAGGGCTTCGATGGCATGCAAAATCAGCTTATGGCAGGATCATTCTCAAGGCACTCAGATAGCCAGATGGTAGTCAAGTTGGGGTATGGGGCATGGGCGGTGATGAGGATTCTACAAAGAAATGGAGCTGGAAATCAGGAGACAGGTAAGACTCATTGGCATGAAGGTCTGGGCCCTGAGAGACAGCTGGGAAGATGAGTCAGGCTAGGAATATTGATGTAATCATCTGAATCAGTGTCTTCCACGTGGGCAGCAGGCTGGTGGTACAAGCTCACATAGTCACAGCTGGTCTTCAGAGATGGGGCATAGATCCAGGAAACTTCGGGTACCTGGAAACAGTCAAAGAAGTATCACTGGCTCTGGCTGGGTAATTTTAATATCTGTTCAGCTTAGATTTCCACTACAGGAAATGGAGGAGCATGGACACAGTTGCTGAATTCTAGACGGCAAAGATGCAGAAGTGGCTGAGCTCCATTAAGTGGGCCAGCCCTGGGGATTTTCAGGGTGATGTCTCACCCTAGATGACTGGAAAATACTTCAATCTAATGTGGACAGGATATGCTTTAAATGGGGTACAGACTGAAATCATGTGGCTGAGCATGAGTGTGAAGGAGGCCCAGCTGCAGAACTCTCCCCCTGGGGATAAAGGGATATGACTTGTGGAATAAATATGCATCATCTTCTTAGGCAGTTATTCAGAGGCAGGGTGAATCACTTCTTATACCAAGTCTGTAAGGACTTGGAGAGGCTATAACATGACATGACAGTGCATTCCAAAAAAGGGCTGGGCAGCGAAGAGGAGGAAGACTGTAGAACATGTGGGCACTATGGCACTTCTCTTTCCCAGAGAGAAGCTTCAGGGTCCTTCACCATCATGGCAGTTCTAGAGGACATGGCTGTGCCAAGACTCTGACATGGTACAATTACTGTAATATCAACAGAAGATTTCCATGGTAGTGACTGTGATCAGTCATTTAAACATGAGTTCTAAGAACCAGAAGTGCAGCAGCACTCTTGATACAGTCAGCATCCACTGAAAGGAATGTCTACAATTTATATCTTACTACTGGGCATGATGGCTCATGCCTTTAAACCCAGCACTTGGAAGGCAGAGTGGATCTCTGTGAGATGGAGGCCATCTGGTGAAGTTCCAGGCCAGCTGGGGCTACAGGGAGACCCTGTCTCAAAAAAAACCCAAAAAACAAAACAAAAACAAAAAAAACAAACAAAACCAAAAACCAAAACACTACTATCTCCCACTGTGTGTTAATTGATTTGACTTAAAAAATAAAAATGGCTGGGTGTAGTGGTGCACGCCTTTAATCCCAGCACTCAGGAAACAGAGGCAGGCGGATCTCTGTGAGTTCAAGGCCAGCCTGGTCTACATAGTGAATTCCAGGACAGCTGGGGCTACAGGGGGACCCTGTCTCAAAGAGACCAAAAAATAAAAATAAAAATGTTCACTATGAAGGCTGATGTAGTCAGCTGTTAAGAATGTGTACCTTGTAAATTTGTTGTCAGGTTTTTGCCATAATCAAGGGAATGAGTGTCTCTCACATAGAGAGACAGGGCTAGCTCTTACTGAGCAAGGGATAGCCCAGGACAGGGTCTGTGATCACAGGACAGATTCAGAGGAAAAGGCTGGTTTGGGGGCAGAGCAGATAGGCTCTGCTGGGTCATTCATTCCCAAGTTTCAGGGAATCTTCTATTTATTTTTTGAGAGGAGAGATAAGCCCAAGAGGCTGGAAGTGGCTATGCAGGGCTAGGTCTCACTTCCTTTTTTCTTTTTTTTATGACAGGGTCTTCCTGTAGACCCAGCTGACCTGGAACTTGCCTGGCCTCGATCTCTCAGAGTTCTGCCTGCCTCTGCCTCTCAAATGCTGGGATTAAAGTGGTACTGTACCACCATGCTCCAGTACTTGTCCCTTTTTAATGAGGCACACAATCATTTGATTAAGGTTGCCATCCTGAGCTGGCATTCACAGCCTCCCTTGAAGCTAGATGCTACTAAATGACTAGCTAATGGGAGGCAAGTGGAAGTAAGGTATGAAAATTAAGGGTGAAGATCTTAAAGAAGCAGTTTTCTCTTTCATCTTCTTTTGGGTGGTGCTGGTGGCTGAATATTGACTATGGCCCAGGCAAAACTCCAGGGGCTAGTGGAGTGAAATGTCTCTGAATGGCCTCATGGATTACCCTACTTGTTCCTGTCCCTCTGTTCTGATGCTTGAGAGGAAAATCAGGCTGCAAGTCTTCCTGATCTCTGTGTTTTTAGCAGATCTTCCTGCAAGTCTTCCTGATCTCTGTGTTTTTAGGTCTTGCATGTGACAGAATGTGTGAATTGCAGAAGAGCCACAAACCTCATTAGAGAAAGCCATAAATCCCTTAAAGTGACTAACTGGCCCTAAATTGGCAGGCTGACCTTGCTCAAGCCTTATCAGCTGGTCACTTCTGAACTGAGGGAGACTGTTTATGGAGCCAGCCTGCCTCCTTTGGTGTCCTAAGACAGCTCACCTGCCTGAGAAAATAATCTAGGGAGAGAGACCCTCAAGGACACTAGACCCTGGAATGAATAACTTTTGCAGCTGTGTTCAACCAAGTTTCTATATAAGTCCAAACCACCCCTCCCTTTCATGCAGATACCTGTTTCTGTCCACAGCTTCTGTGCTTTGCTGTGTTCTTTGAGTGAAGGAGCACATTCCTTGCCTGCTGCAGGTCTGGCTCTGACTCAGACTCTTATTTCTAAACTTTAAACTCCTTCCTTTTCTGCTCTACTAAATCTAACAGCATGTGTTTAGGTTACACTAATTAAAGCACACATTTGGCACCCTTATCAATCTTTTTTCTGATTACTGAACCCAGTGTTCTAGACCTTGAGAATACTTTAAAGAATGCTTCCTTAATTTGGGAAAACAAAAGGACTCGGCTGCATCTCCGCCTTGCCACGTTAAATCAATCCTTACTGCCCCACTGCTTTCTCTTCCTTTGAGAGTTTACTAGAACGTTCTTCCTCAGAGAAGTGTAAAGCGGTCAGGGCAGCTTTCATCCACTTTCAACCGGCTAGAAATCTAGTCCCCGTTAGCATCAGTTACTGTAGAGATACCAGCTATCACTCTCTACCAGGCTCAAGCAGTCCCGCATCTGTGGAGCCCAGGAAAAATGCTTGGCTAACAGCCAGGTAACTAAGGCAACCACAGCTTACCAGAGGCGGAGCACTGGGCGCTGAAGCTCCGGCGCTGGGCAGAGGGCGCGCCTCCTGACCTGGAAGAAGCAAAGCGGTGAGGGCCTGGCCGTGGCTCCAGCTCAAGTCCCGCCCTGCTCCCGGGCCAGGCCTGCGTGCTCCGGCTCCCGCGGGTTCGCTCACCTGCAGCGTCAGCGTTCCGAGCGCGCCACGGGCAGGCGCTGTAGACGTTATTTTGCGAGCGCGGCCTCCGCGAAGGTCTGGGCCGCTGTGCAGGGGACCGCCCGGAGCCGCCCTGGGTGCGCATCCTCGCCGCCAGCCGGCGGATGCTCCTGGAGAAGGCTTCTCGGCAGTCAGGAGGAAGCGAGAAGGAAATGGCATCAGCGGCCACCCTGCTTCCCCTTTCCCAGATTCAGGGCTGCCCCTCTCCCCAAATGCCTGGTAATGGCTCATGTGTGGATAGAGAGTGTGCAGACCGCAGAAGTTAGGATCTTGGCCTCCCAGAAGACCAAAGGACCTGGGCGACTCTCCACCTCGGCTCGGTCCGCAGGCATCTCCCGCTCTGGTCCCCTCTGTATGGTTCTAGGCTCTTTGGGTAGCTCATCTTTCCCAACTGAAGCCCAGAAGCACCTCACCTTTCCTCCTTTGAATGGCTCTTTTTATCACCAGTCCCAGAAGAGTCGCCAACAGAAGGCCCAGGACGCTTGGAATCAGGATGTGAAATTCTTGGTCTTCCCTCCCAGTCTGTGGGTCATGGTTGCGTGTTCTTGGCAGGGAAGGAAAGGGAGAGAGGGGAAAAAGAGAAGGTAAGTGACCGTGACCGTGGACGTTTAAAGACGCACCCTGTGTGGTCACCTATTTGGGGGATGAGTCAAACTTCACTCTGTTAACAACATTCTCTACATTCTGCCCCCCCCCCCAGAGATTTGTTTATTGGATCAGGAGACTTGGGTTCAAGGCCAGGATCTGTAAAGGTCTTGTATGCGGTCTTGAACAAGTCTCTTAATTTCTCTGAACCTTATGGAAATCGTAAAACCTGCCATAGAACTGTTATGAATATGAAACAAAATAGTGGATATAAAGAATGTAAGCAACATACTCTGTTCCAAAGGCCAAAAATGTCAAAAGTATTTGGGAGCTTGTATCTAATCCTTAAAAGATTTTAGGGTTACATCTTCAGAGGGGGGAATGTTGGAGGGGAGGGAGTGGGCATGGATTTGATCAAAACACCTTACATACATGTATAAAATTCTCAAAAGGTTTTGTAAAAGTTTAAAAAAAATGCACCTCTTCATAGCAGAGTCTAATACATAGTAGTTCCTGTTTGTGCTTTGTGAAATCTTTTCACGTTAGAATTGTATTAATAAGACCTGGATTTTGCATTAAAAAACATTTTTTAACTTCTTAAGGGCATAGCACACTCAGGTACATAGTTGACATTAAGAAAATGTCGATTGCATTTACTTGCTTGATGTGATTACTGAAATAGAAATCCAGAGTCCCGGTTTCATTTGAAATCACTTAGGTTTCAAGTCTCCAGTTTCTGCACTTACAGGATACAAATGATACTGGGTTCCCTTTTCTCACTAACGTGCTTGATTAGACACTTGATCCTGGATTTTCTTGTGCCCTCCCATAATGCTGCCACCTAGTGGTTCATCAAAGTCTGCAATTTAGGACAATTTATGACAAAGCTGAGCAATAGTAAATAGTGTATGCCACATATGGAATTTAAATTTCCAGTTACCCACATTAGAAAAGTAAAAGGAAAAATATGAGAGTAATTTTAGTACTTACTAGTTATTAATTAATTTAATTATCTTAATTTAAAGTTTCTTCTAGTTTAATTCTTCCCCATCAAAACAGACTTGAATGATTGAAAGACTGGAGCCTTTCTAGAAGGTCAGTACTAGAGCATTGACAAGTGTATTCTTTGCTAAGGAGACTATGAATTTGTATAGTAAACTCACAGGGAGTGTATTTCTCAGTGGACTTCTGGAGACAAAGCCAAGAAGGGTACAGGATGACTTCAAGCTTTCAGTACACCTGTGCCAAATGCTGAGGGTCTCACCTCTGCTCATCAAGTCTGGTATGGTGACTGTAGCTGGCTCCCAGGGGCCTGACTCCTTCCTGAGCTGAAGTCTTTGAGACTGTTGTAGGTGGCAGGAAATCTGGGGACTCGACAGCTACTACCAAAGATGTTCTGGAAACTTGAGGATGGTGGGTTATTGGAGCCGTGTTGGAGAGCTGGTGAATTGGAGGGACCTCAGTCTTTGGAACTGGTGTGGTAGCTTCAGGAGATAGCAGAAAAAGGTTACTTTATGTATAGACTGTGTCTCCAGTCTCTAGCAGAATTGGGCTACCTCTTCTTTTCTCAATAATTTCTTCCCTTTTGCTCACATTTTCTTTGTTCTTGCTATCTACAATGAATAAATATTATTCAAATACCATTTCCTCCAGGAAGCCCAGGCAGACTTGACTTCCCAGGCAGAAGAACTTTCCCTCATCTGAGCAGGGGGAGTGGTTTGTTTGTAGTTCTGTTCTCACTCTGACTTCATATACTTACCATTCTCCCTGATCCCACTACTGTTTGTCACAGTCATGACTCCATGGCCTGCCCAATTGCAAGTTCCTGTTGGCACCCATCAGGGTCTCCTAGGGTAGCAATGTTCAATTAATGTATCTACCTCATAGGGTATTTGTCAAGATATGATGGAAATATTACATGCCCCAAACTGAAAAATGATATTGAAACAAATTTATTGTTAATATGTTATTCATCTTTTAATTGCAAAATAGAGTTAAAATCACTAGATGCCAACAGGAAGAAGACATCTCTACCAGTAGCAGGAGGCATAATGGCCCCCAGCTGGGAAACATTTGGAGTCATTGATGAAAGTGCTAGAGATAAAGGTGCAGATTTTGTATACTGGGCACTTCATTACTTGTGGTGCCACCTAGTGATGTGCATGAGCTCTCTCACTAGTGCCTGATGTCATGGCTATAGGATGCAGGTGGATCTCAGGGAGGCCTTCTCCTGAGGCAGGGAAATATACACAGGAAAGTCATCTCTGCTTGTCAGCCACTCTGTGAGCTGAACAAAGCACTGCCCGGCCCTGCTCTGGCTTTGATGGACTGACCTTTGGATATGAATTCAGAAGGAGTGGCCTGTGTAACCTCATGGAACCAATTGGGCATCTGCTGGTTCAGAAATCTGTCAAACCATCCTGGAAGTCCAGATGTCGGCTCATCTTCCCAGAAGGGTTTGTATTCTATTAGAGGGAAGAAGTATATGTTGATGACCTCTAGAGAGAAGATAGGCCTGAGAAAGGGACTGGAGGTATAAGTAGAAGCTGACTCAGCCAAGGCCGTGAGGGGATGAGGATGGTCCACAGAGACAAGCAGAAAAGGAACTGGATGTGGGCCTCCCTGAAGAAACCACCCTTTCCCTATTAGCCCAGTCAACATTATGTATAAAGTCATCAGGCTATTGGGAGTATATGCTGCTGAATTAGCCATGCGTGTGTTAAGAAGTCACTAACAAGAAGAAAAAGGAGTAAGGAGAAATGAAAGTCCAGACCATACAGTAACAGTTGTGACTAGATGTGGTTGATAGATGGCTGTTTATCATTTATCAAGTATATCAAGTACCATATGTCAAGAATCAAGTATAACCTGATACTTCTCATGGGATATTTATATAGGACCATTAGGTCCTTTCTTCCAGTTTCCTCAACCTCAGAACCTCTCCTCAGTCTCATGTCTCTCTCTCTCCCCTCATACCCTGGTAGGATGGACAATACACAGACAGCACCTATCTTATTCTTTTCATCCACTGTGGATAGAAAGTTCTAGGCTGGGAAGTTTATCAATTATGAAGTTAAACTATGTTGAACCCCATTGTTACTGGGTTGGCTAATACAGCATAGAACTGTTATAGTTAGATGGTTGCCCTGATTTTCCCAAATCTTTCTGTGGGAACATTTCTTTTTCTTTTTGATCTTTTTGAGACAGGGTCTCCCTGTAGCCACAGCCAGACTGGAACTCACTATGTAGACCAGGCCTCAAATTCACAGAGATCTGCCTGCCTCTGCCTCCTGAGTGCTGAGTGCTGGGATTAAAGGCATGCACCACCATGCCTGGCCTCTGTGGGAACATTTCTGAACACCTACCATTGTGGACATTCACAGTGACTTTCTGGGTCCTGCCCCGGTCTGTGTGTGTGCCCACTCCACAGGCATAGACTCCATTGTCACTTTTAGTTAGCTTTGTCACCTCTACCAGAAATATATTCTTATCAAAGCATGGTTTCAGAGTGACTCGGCTTCTGTATTCATCCTTGACAAAGCTGTTGGATACCACAGTGACACATATGCTGGGGTTAGTCATCTGCCGGCACAGGTACATCCTTGTGTATATCTCAGGAAGTGGACACTCGATGATAATGGATCCACCAAGGGCTCCATCCAAGTGTACTTCTGGGAGGATCTTCAGAGTCCCAGACACTGCAAGGAGAGGAAGGAGGGGAAACTACACTCAAATGTATCTCAACTCTAGCCACATCCACACCTCTAGCCATCTCTCTAAACCTAACCCTGGCCCTAGCCCAGTCTCATACTCACCTCCCAGACACAGCCAAATCCCTATCTCTAGCCTGGCCCCAGCCCTATGATGATTTCTGCCCATCACCTCGTGCTTAGCCTCTTCATAGTCCTATTCACAGTCTCAGACTTGCTCTGTGCCCAGCCCCAATTCCTTGTCATCAGCTTCAGCCCCAGTCTCATCACTAAACCTGAGACCATAAAGACTTAGACACAACTACAATGCCAACTGCAAGGAAGGATCATATATCTGGGATGACACCAAGTGGTACACGATCCTCAAGTGACTTCAGTGTGTGGTTGAAACAGTACAGCGATGCTGCAGTCCATTTCCCTCCCCAGTTTTGTTTCTCTCTGATCCATTCATCTAGCCATTCCTTCCAGAAATTCTTTACATTAAATCATTTAATTAGTACACACTGGAAGCTTTTCATGTGAATCCCTCTCAGAACAAATCATGTGATGAGTTATACTAGTAGGCAGTTGCTACAGCACATTGCAATAAATCTTATGACAGAGATAGTACAGGGTTCCCTAGAAGGAGCAAGCAGGAGCACTTGATTCAGACTGCTCAGGGGCCAGTGTCCTTGGTGGAAGGCTTTCAAGAGAAGTGATGTTCAAACTGTGCCCTGAAGGAATGGGCATGGAGGGTACTGAGAATATGATGTTGGTCACCAAGGTAGGGAACTCACAAGAGGGAAAGCATGGGTATATATGAGTATGAATACACATGTGTGGGCATGAGCACAGGAAGGAAGTAGAACAGGGAGGAATGAAAGCTGTGGCCCCAAGTCCCTTACATAAAAAAGCTTATGCTTTGGGGAAGTATAGTGCAATTCAGATGAGGGTAAGACCATGGGTGATTGTTACCTAAAGTGAGTCCCAGTGAGTGCATATTCTGAGAAGAGGGGTGATAGGGTAAAGTGTGAATGCATGTGTTGTGTGCGGCTGGGAGCGGGGCAGAGGAAGGGATGAAGCAAGCTTTTTAGATGTCAGGAACAGTCTGAAGATTGGATGTGAGAGAGAACATGGCATAGAAGTCTGCCAGCTTACTGAAGTTTATCTACAGACTGCATTCAGAATAGCTTCAAGGAGCTTAGTCAAATGACAGAATTAAAAAAAAAAGGCATTAGAAGGGCAATGGTAGAGCTTGGAGCTTCTGGGTCAGGACATTTCAGGTAGAGGGAACTGTAGAGAGGGTAGAAGATAGAAGCAACCACGGGGCAGAGATGGGGACCACGAGAGGATAGAGGGGCAGGAAATACCCAGGAGCATGTTGAGATAGAAGAGTCATGCCAAGTCAACATGTGGGCAGGGGAAAGAGGCAGAAGGATCAACCAGATGCATGTGTCCTGCTGAGGAAGCCTGCACATGCAGAGCCCAACCTGCTTAAGCCTCCTGGCAACAGAACTCATGACATGGTCTCAGGCCTGGAATAAGGCAGTGGAAAGGTGATCTGTTTCCAATCAGAAGGTTGAGGGAATCCTAGGAAGGACCAAACCATGGTAAAAAGTAGTACTCTTTAGTGTTCATAGAAGCTTCTAACCCTTGCCTGAAACAGAGAAAAGACAGGTACCATCTTGTAGTTTCGAATTCAAAAATAGCTTCATATAATTAGAGTCATCCAGTGTATGATTGGTTTGGTCCTGAGACATGGTGACTTGCTCTAGGCTGGTGCAGGTGCCTGCCTTTTAAAGGAGCATCCCACCTGGCCTTGAAAACTGCAATTCTTACATTTAAAAGTGGTTCTGGGGAAGAAAGGAGGAGGTGAGAGAAGGTATCTAAAAGAACCAACCTGTTTAATGTTTTAGAGGCTCCTAGGTGGCATTGATCTCTCAATTGGTGTTCTAGTTTGTTTCTCCATTGCTGTGACAAAATACTCTGACCAGTACCAACTTGGTGAGGAAAGGGTTTATTTAGCTTACATCTCCCTGGTCACAGTTCATCAGGGAGTCCAAGGAAGGAACTCAGGGCAGGAACCTGGAGGCAGGAACTGAAGCACAGGCCATGGAGGAACGCTGCTTACTGGCTTGCTCCCCTGGCCCATGCTCAACCTGTTTTCTTAGACAACATAGACCCACAAGCCCAGGAGTGGAACCACACAGTGGGCTGGGCCCTCACACATCACTCAATAATCAAGAAGCTGCCCCACAGACATGGCCACAGGCCAGTCCAATGGAGGCAATTCACCAGTTGAGGATCCCTCTACCCACGTGTCTAATTGACACTAAAGCTATCCAGCACAATTGGTGACTTGGTTTTTGGTGACAATGAGTGGCAGAGGAGAAGGAATAATATGTAGTTTGAAAGTCATTGTTAGTATATAATTGGATGTAAATACATGTTTGAAATATGAATAATATCCTATAGTTTTCATAGTACAAAATAAGGTGATGGTCCATAGACACTTGAGGACTGAGGATACCATGGAGAGTTTGTAGGTGAAAATGGGATTCAACTCAGTCTAGAACAAAATGCCAGAAAGAGGAGAGACAGCTGGCTTGATATTTATGTTTATCAAAAGGGCTATAGAGGAGAGACAGCTGGCTTGATATTTATGTTTATCAAAAGGGCTATAGAATTTGTATCTTGTGGGGGGTATCTCTAACTGAACCTGGGGTTCACTGGGCTAAACTGGCTGGCAGGTAAGCATCAAGGAATCCTCTTGTCTGTCTCCCTTGCTCTGGGGTTATAGGCATGTGCCACAGAATCTGGCTTTTATTTTTATTTTATTTTTGTTTTTATTTTATTATTTTTATTTTTTGTATGAGTGTATTGCATGCACACATATAAGTCTATCCATGTCATGTAATGCCTAAGGACTTCAGAAGAGGGCGTCAGATCCTTTGGAACTGGAGTTACAGTTAGCTGGCATGTAGGTATTGGGAATTGAACCCAGGTCCTCTGCAAGAGCAATTAGTGCTCTTAACTGCTGAGCCATCTCTCCAGCCCCAGAACCTGACTGTGGGTGTTGTGGATCCAAATTCAGGTCCTTGTGCTTGTATGACAAATACTTTGTCTACTTATCCAGGCCCTGACTATGGAAGTTTTAAACTTCTTAAAAAAGGATGAGAGGGTTGGTGGCCCAGACACCTGGGAACCACCACTGCTTCTTCCTGATCCTGTGCATCCAGAGCAACTCAGTTCCTTCTCAGGTCCCCAGAAGCACTGCTTCTGGGCCTGGCCCCACCCTCATCTCCCTCTTCTTCTCTGGGCCTGCAGGACCTGCAGGCCTCTCTCTGACCCTCAGGCTTCTCTCTCTGGGATAAGTGGATTGGGCCCTCCTCGCCTTGACTCCCCAGCCTCACTCCCTCTCCCATCTCCCCCTCCGGTCTCTCCTCCTAGCCTGGGTCCTGTCCCATTCCTTGTCTTGGCACCCCAGACACCTGGGGAACCACCACTGCTTTCTGATCCTGTGCATACAGAGCAACTCAGTTCCTTCTCCAGTCCCCAGGGGCGCTCTGTGCCTAGTCCCACCCTCACCTCCCTCTGCCTCCCTGGGTCTGTACAACCATCGAGCCTCTTTCCTGGACACCAGGGCTGACCTTTCCGTCTCTCCTCCTAGCCTGGGTCCTGTCCCATTCCTTGTCTTGGCACCCCAGACACCTGGGGAACCACCACTGCTTTCTGATCCTGTGCATACAGAGCAACTCAGTTCCTTCTCCAGTTCCCAGGGGTGCTCTGGGCCTAGTCCCACCCTCACCTCCCTCTGCCTCCCTGGGTCTGTACAACCCACGAGCCTCTTTCCTGGACACCAGGGCTGACCTTTCCTCTTCCTGGTCCTTTGCATCCAGACCAACCCAGCTTCTCAGTGAAGTCCCCAGAAGTCCTTGGGGCCTCTTCCTGCCACATCTGCCTTTGCATCTTTGGGTGGCATAGCCACCAGCTGCCACAGACCTGCATCTTTCTTGGGCCCAGCTCCCAGGCCAGTCCAACCCCCAAATTCCAGAGGCAAAGTCTTTCCTGGAGGGATCCAGACCTTAGGGAGAAAGCCTGAGAGCATCTGATCTTCACCTGACTTGGGCCTCTGTGAGAACTCCTGAAGATGAAAGCAATCTGGCCACTCCAGTATAAAATCAAAAGAGAACCGGAAACTTAGAGGAACCAGCTTTTCATGCCTAAAAAGTAAACCACAAAGACATATAAAATTCACAAAGAAAAGCAGACCTAAACTTGAAGGCTTGAGTCTCACACAAGAATCAGAAACTCCAAAAGAAATCCACATGTCAAAGTCACAGAGAAAAAATAACATGAAAACAAAAATAAGATATCCCCACCAAGTAACAACAGTCCCCTAGAG